GCAATATTATTACTCTTGCGTAGGCAACGCGTAAGCTGCAAAAGTGGTGGCGAGGGCATTTGCATCGACAGTTTTGGCGGGTGTACTTCAAAGAAGTTAAGGCGGTACTGCAGATCCAACGCCTGGTACGCGGTTTCCTGACAAGGCAATGGGTTCGTATATGGCATGTAAATCGAGATATTCGTGTCACGAGGCTTCAGGCGTTGTTTCGTGGACATTATATTCGCTACAAGGTGATACCGACCTGGAAGCGCTGGGAGTATATTAATGTGACCAAGATTCAGTCTGTCATCCGAATGTATTTTGCAAAGGAGTTTTGTCAACGCTGCAAACGAGAGGTAGCAGCACTGCGTATTCAATCTATGTGGCGCGGTTTTCTCTCTAGAAAGAAATTTGATTTACGGTGGCTGGAGATAAGAGCTATCAACTTGCAGCGACTGGTGCGTGGAACCCTCGCACGAAAGAATGCACGGAAGAGAGCAGCACGTTTAGAGAGTGGAGCTATTCAGATTCAGCGGATGTTTCGTGGGATGAAAGCACGCATGGAAATTTATACATTGATGCGTCATAGGGAAACTCGCAACCGACAAGAATATATTGCGGTGTTGGAGGTTGAAGCAGAGTGGCATCGTGCTCAACGCGATAAACTCCAAGCTCGATTAGAACGAAAGCAACTAAAACAACGGTAAGCTTCCGCTGACTGCGCCGTGTTTAGGGCACTCACACATTGTGCATTTTTGCTTAAACAGCGTTGCACAACTGGAATATGACTACTACATCGAGCACGAACGAATACATGATGTACGTACAATTATCGTTTGTATTGACCTCACTATAACCATTGCAACACTTTTTTTTTCTAGATGGAAAGTATATATCTTGACATGCAAACGCAACGCATGCGAGTATCCCCTCGTGCAATTGAGCATGGGTGGGTGGAAGAAATGGAGGCAAAAATGAAACAACAGCGTGCGCTCATTACCAAGGTGAAGCTTGAGGTCATCTTTGCGCTAGGTCTGGAATTCAAACGGAAAGAGAAAGAGTTCATCGAGTTCCAACAGCGCATTAATGCCATAGAAGAAAAGCGCAGACGGGTATCTACGATAAACGCTTCCGTTCGGGTGACGAGACTCATACTAATTACTGTTGTTACAGTTTGAAATCTGGCGAAACGAAGAATATCTAGACTTTTGGGAGGTATGTGCAATCTGATTTGGCACATGACAAATGCCTTAGCTGCGCTTTTATTCTGCACTACAGCGCGAATGTCGTTTCCACTACCAAGTAAAGATTATGCAGAAACGTCAGAAAATTGCCGAAACTCGGCGAAGCTGGCAGGTCCAGTTATACAGAACTAATGGCAAGCGCGACCATCGTTGGAGGGGTTCACACTGGTCTCCAGATGTAATTGAAGTTTCCAAAGAGAAAGAAGGTTTTTGCATCGGCTCGACCGATATTCTGGCGCTCGTGCACGATAAATGGCGGCTTCGAATGCAGGAAGTCGATGAAAGTGGGCCAGTACGCGATGACAAAGAACAGATATGCGATACGAGAGGGCATATCGATGATCTATCGGACCAGGTGGCCCACACAGCAGCCACAGCCCAAACCGAGCAAACGAAGGCGATATTCAAACCAGTGTTTCGAGATGTGGAGCTCTCATTTGATAAAATTCAAAAACTACAACGAGAACATGACAAGCCTCTGGTACAAGCAAGGCAAGAAAGAAACACTCGAGGTTCTACTGATAATGCCAGAACTGGAGAGAATCAAACAGCCAAAGGTCTCGTTAAACGTGCTAAAGATCCGATGCGTTCTTTAGACCGACAGCAGCGGAAACGACAACTCGTGTTGGCGGCTAAGGTCCCGTGGCACCTCCATGACCAGTTAGAGGCAGAGCGCCGCAATCTAGCAAACGAGAAAGCTATGTTCAAACTATGAGGCAAAGCTTATTCCGGAGAATAAAAGGCTTATGGTAAACAAGAAATGTGATATCACAGCAGGCTGACGGGCATGTATCATCTAGTGCCTGGAGCCCCTGCGTCCCTTTACTTTTTCTTCTAAAGCAGTAATACGCTCTTCTAGCTCCTGAATCAATTGAGCCTCGCGGTATTTCACAGTGAGTGCAGTATTTAGGGCGTTGAGTGTGCCCTGTGGTAGCTGCCAAGTCGGTGTGCGCTGCGAGTTGTCGGAGAAGAAATTCGTTGAAATCGGAGGTTCCTGAACAAGCTGTTGACCCGACCAGCGCATGAACATCGCATCCCAAAGTACGACTCGCTTCAATAATCCAGTCAGAGGTGGGTTCAACACTTGCTTCGGAGCATAGGTTTGCTCTGTGAGCTGCGGGCGAAAGCCGTTAACCCAAGTCCACACGGATGTGGTCCGATTCCCCAAGTTAGCTTCCTGACGGTGCTTTTTGCAATCGAACAAAAACGTCCCAAAGCGACATGAATGCAGAGCATCGGCGAGCATGAGCAGCAGTCCCTCGTTAAATCTGCAAAATTGATCGATACGGTTACGGTCACTTTACTGATTGTATCCAGCAACGATAGGTATCTCAACTTACTCAAAGTAGCTTGGATAAATTCGAACGAGCTGCGAGACGCAATCCAAGAATTGGATAAAAATCGGCGACTCCTGTGTATCCGCTTTCTCACCGTGCGAGTGCCGAATATGAAAGGGGTGTCCGAACGATAACCATTCTTTTTCAATCAGCACTTGGAATCCTTTCCACGTTCGGAAGAAAGGATCAATGAAAATTTGAGCAAGCGACGCGATCTGGCTTGTGCGGTCCCAACCGTGGCTACAATGCAATAGCACTGATTCACCCGATCGGAGCAATTGTGCAATATGCAAACCGGACTTCAGAAGTTGGCGAACGTAGACCAACCACTTAGTGTCCTCAATGCTTCCGAGCCACCGTAAGTTATCACATGAGGGTGACGCACAGAGGTTACGCAGCTTTTTCATGCTAATCATGGCACCACGAATATAAACAGCAAAAAGGTTAGTACTTAAACAACTTTCATCCAATCGAGCTAGAATCACTTCAATCGGACCGCACCTTTCCCTCATGGAATGGATGTTAGGGATTTCCATGTAGCTAATT